GAGGAAATGCTTTAAACAACAAGCGTACATGCACATACATACACACACACACTGGCACTGCTTAGGAAAATCTATGCCAACCCTGTATTCTGAGTGTTGCTTCTAGCTATTCTCCAAGCTGCACCAATGCTCACATTTTTAATTCATGGCACTCAAGAAGAAAAACAAGAGAAATCGTGCTATGGGGCATGCATTTTGTGTTCCACAGATGCATAGTGGAATACAATGCATCTTTTTATTACTCAGTCAAAATGACTTTGAAGGAGAACACCTGGGTGCTTTGATGTCAGACAAGCTCTGTGGTCCTGCAAGTGAGAAAGATTCGTTCACAAAACCAAAAAAAAAAAAAAAAAAAATCACAGTTATCTTAAAAAGCATTAGTTCATGACCAGCATTGATAGTCTCCCTAATAATGCCTTTCTGTGCATGCTACTTGAATTAGGAGTTCAATAAATGCTTATGAGGCACATTTTAACCAAGGGGTTTGCCTTTTCAGATTACATGTATTGATACAAAAGTTATTGTTCGCTATGTCATTTTGTATATAGTAAAAGGAATTCATCATAAATGAGCAAACAGATTGACCCGTATTTTGCTTAATTATGCCCGCATCAAAATGGCACAACATATCATGTTACTATATTGATACAAAACCCATGGCAGTTCCTATTTGCAGGAGAAGTTTAAAAAAATACCTGCTATGATTTTAAATGTGTGTTCTCTCTGAGACCTAGGTTAAACCTTGGGCTCCACAGTGTTATTAAGAGATGGGGTCCTTGGAAGGTAATTTGGATTGGATGACATCATGAAGGTGGAGCTTTCGTGATGCCATTGGTGGCTTTATAAGGAGAAGATGAGACACCAAAGTAGAGAACTTACTCTGCCTTTCCACGTGATACTCTTTGCAGTGTTATAAGCAGGAGGAAGACCCTCACCAGAGGCCAAATAGGTGTTGGGGCCATGATCTGAGGCTTCCAGAACTATAAGCTAAATAAAACTATTAATTACTCAGCCTGTGCTACTCAGTTATAGAAAAGTTAGTGTGAGGCCCTCTTCACCAGGCCTCTCTATTTTGTGATGATCCTCTATCTATTCTTCTGTCTAGGAGCCCAGGAGTTTATGCTATCCCACAGAGAAGTATACCTCTCACACAGTACATTAAGATAACCCGAAGGGCTCTTCTCCCTTTTCGTTCCTGCCTATTGAGGCAGCTAAGTGTTGCAGGACAGGGTTTAATTCTTCACAATGGACAGTCCTGGCTTTAGTCCTGAACCCACCTCTTCCTTGTAACCTTTTCAACTGACTTATTCTGTGTTATCGTTAGATCTGAAGTCTCCCCCAAAAGCCCTATGGTGAAGGCTTGGTTCTGAGCCTGGCGTGCTGGTGTGAAGTGGTAGAAACTTTAAAAGGCAAAGCTTATTGGAAGTTGAGTCACTGGGCAGATGATCTAGAAGGGGATTCTGGATCCTAGTTCCTTCCTTTATCTTTCTCTTTGCTTCCTGGCCACCATGAGGAGAGCAGCAGCCGCTCTTCTGTCATGTGAGTCTGCCATGATGTACTGTGTCACCACAGGCTCAAAGCAACATGGTCAAGTGACCATGAACTGAAACCTCTGGAACAGGAAGCCAAGATAAACCTTTCTTCCTTTTACTTTAATTCCCTTGGGCATTTTGTCATAGTAATGAAATGCTGACCAACACGTTTTCTTAGGCTCAACTTCCTCTTACGTAAAATAGATGCACTGATATTTACCTGCTCAGGAAGATGAAGATTCAGCAGAGAATATTGATGGAGTGCTGGGAAGAATGTCTAGCCTTAAAGCGTCTGATATAATCAGAAATATTTTTAATATTTCCTTATATTTCGTATCATGGCATAGTCAGCACCAATCCTCACCAACAAATGTGAAAAAGATAATTCACAGCTCACACCACAAGGTGTGCTACAATCAGAACTGCGTTGGCAAAACATCTGAAGTGCCTCTTTGGACTACATCTTCCACAGAGAAACCTGGAGACACAGTTTTCTCTAAATCAGAGAGGATATATTTTCTTTTGACAGTGATCCAAAGCTCCCCACCTTAACGGCACCAAATCCTCAATTTCCTGAATTACCAAAATCCATGAACTCTATTTGTGTCTCACCTTCTTCATCCTTAAAGCCTCCCTTGGAAATCTTCAGCAAATGGCTAACTCTCTAGAGGAAAGAAGGAAAACCATATGACATAAATCCATATCGGTGTTAGAAGCAACGGCATCTCCTTGGCTCTCTGAGCTATGCCTGTTGCCGGTGTACTTGGGTGCTTGTGTGTTGTACATTTCCACTGGCTGATTAATTTGGTTCAAAATCATGAGCAAACTAAAGGTGAGAGAATATGGGTCTGAACATTCCAGACATCTACTCACGGGAAAGGAGCATGTCAAGAAAGTGGTAATTTTTACTGTCAACATTTTTTAAACTTTTGTCAGGAGGTGATTTCATTCACACCCACCTAGTGACCGGCAGGAATCATGATGTCCTCATTAACATCTGCAGCCCCATATGGCACCTGCATTGTGACAAGTGTGGGCATGTTAATTTTCTTAAAGAAGGCAACATTGAACCGCATTTGTTATGAGAGGTGCAAAACAGGTGTTCTGCTTTGTCATTCTCGGGAAACCGTATGGCTTCCAAATTTAAACCACCTTGTGAGGTCAGTCGAAGGCTGCAAAATGTGGCCTCTGCTTAGACGACACATACTGCAGTTTCCTGTTCTCTCTTCAGTGACCAAAGCAGAGGTCAGGCTCTTCTGGAATCTGCGAGCTAAGCATGGAAGAACTGGACAGTAGATACATTGGAAGGGAATGCTAGGGAGATGACCTCTGGTGGACTGTGATGACCGCTAGCTATTTTGTTTCTCTGCAACATATTTTTTGCATGTCCACTCATCTAACTCTGGACATGGAATACTGATGGGCTCTTGTGTCCTTGAATTAAAAACATGGGTGTATCTACCTTCACTGAACTGAAGTTCCCTGATGTAGGCAAGAGAAATGACTTCACTGGACACACAATCTTTTTTGAAAGAATTCACCGTGCATATATTCTTTCCATCCATTTGCAACTTGGTGACATTAGCAACCTTATCCATGACTATGGAGGAAGAGATGGAGGTTCCACTAAGTGCCTTGTCAGACATGACAGGTTACAGAAAGGTAACTTCTTGGGTACAAAGGTGGGTGGCCAGAGTGAATGTGCCTTCCAAACTGGAATCCCACACTGGCTCTCTCCCTGTAGCTGTGTTAAAATGTTGGCACAACTGAGCAGAAGCAACATGTGGGGAATATGCAGCACCAGGGCAGTTGTGTGGGAAGCAATCACAAAAGATTTAGTAGTTGTCTTTCTCCCTGCACTAATGATAATGCTATGATCCAAAGTGGTCACCTCCTCCAGTCACTGTCCCCCATGATTCCCCTCTTCTGCTGTGTGACTTCTGTCCTCTTTAGACTCCATGTAGTCCATCATACTACTATACCTTGGACAGCTCTGCAATACCATCTTCCTGGGACTGGAGGGAAGCTCAGTGGTGTAGCGCATATGTTTAGCATTCATGAGGTCTTGGATTCAACCTCCAGCACAGTCAATCAATGAACTAATGGTTAAAAGATTACTCATCTAGGAGGTGACATTGTTGTAGTTAGGGGTTGTGCAGAATACAATTAGAACGAGGACAAGGAGTTTATAATATTATTTTATAATAGTCACCAGGAGTTAACACAAGAAAGTGCAGGAAATCTATCCACAACACCAAAGACATAGAATATTTAGCCAAGAGCCTAAATCCCTAAGTAATGTCCCAAATGAGTCCAGATCAAAACCCAGAGCTCATGACAGTACTTTCCATGAGTCCAACTGGAGGTCCAGAGCCCACAAGAAGGACACATGCCAGTCTCTTTTAAAGATCCATGCAGGGAAAGCCCAAAGGTCAGCAGTGGAAGCCAGAAAGTCCATGCCAGCAGGCTGAAGGACCTGTGCTGGTGGGATGAGAGTTTTACATTGGAGCTGAGAAGTCACACTCTCAACAAGACCAGGGCTGTCCTTAAAAGCACCACAGCCATCCTCAGCAACACAGAGACTCCAAGTTCCTCCGAAGACAAGCACAGGACATGCCACGAAGCCAGTGTGACGAGTTCATCCTGGAGACCAAGAGTCACATGTCCTCCTTTCCAGACCCAGGAAGCAATGCTCGATGTGAGGACCAGAGCTTCTCCAGAAGAACCAATGGCTCAAACAGCAACACCCAGGAGAACCCACAATGCAGGAATGCAACAACGCATTAACCCCTTAACACCCTCCTTCTCCTTCTCCACCTATTTATGCCAGCAACTTTCCTCAGGTGGAGCATCTATGCTCACTGCCATGCTGATGTAATCCGGCTGGCGTTCAGTTGACCAGTTCTTAATCCATAACAGACATCAACCACTGCTCTGCTACATGCAAAGCTTATTTAGAATCATTCCCTACTTTAGAACTTGTAAGCGGTATATAAGTGAGAGCTCAATGCTTCTCAGAAATTGTGCATTCCTTACTTATAGTAAGCATCCACTGAGTGACTGCCTCAATCAGTACACTGAGTATGACTCCCTTCGTGTGGATGAACTTGTGGAAATCTTTCATTGCTCCCTAAAGCTGAATTTATAACAGGGAAAAATGACAGAGCGATAGATTACACTGGTGGAAGAAGACAATGCCCTGAAGGGGGCCTCCAGGTGGGGCTGGTAGCTGCAGGGCCACATTCTCTGTGCTTGCTGGAGTTCCCATGTGGGGTTCACTCCCAGCAGGTCCTCATTCTCACAGCATGGTGCAAGCTGGGGCCCTATTTCAAGGCAGGGACAGATATAGGCCTTCAATTCTTTTTTCTAATTTTGTATGGGTTATCTATAGAAATGTAAATGATTCACAGCAAGAGACTGCTTCCAAAAGAAGTACGTATGCGCAAGACAGAAATCTGCAGATGTATCTGCTGCTTAACTTTGAAAACCAGAAGCATTTTAAAGGTAAGAACACTTCTGGGAGGGTTGTTTTAGAAAGCATTTCTGATTTTTCTGGTACATGAATCAGCAGCCTTGTAAGGAACTGGGATTGTGTGGAAATCAATTAGGTGGGTTTGTTTTATTCTTTTTGGCTTCGTAAATACACTGGCAACCTTAGAGTCTAACAAGACAACGGAGACTTGACTTTAGAAAGAAGAGGATGAAATGTAAACTCCATGACAAAACTTAAATTTGCATTAAAATGAGAGAGAGAGAGAGAGAGAGAGAGAGAGAGAGAGAGAGAAACTGACACTAAAACATAATCAATTTCCTGGCATCCGAACACATGGACACTTTCCCAGAATGCAGGGGAAAAAAAACCGGACAAATAGATTAAAATGAAAAGAGATTAAAATTACAAAGTGACAAAGAGAAGCATCAACTTATAATTAGTGTTCTGGAAGATGATCCGCAAGCAAATGGAGCAGAAATAATGGCAGAGGATGTAACAAAAGGGAGCTTTTCTAAATGGAGAAAACAACACAGTTGCCAACTGAAGGGGTTGACTTGGGTTTCAGGAAATGTTCATAAAAATAGCGCTGAACCTAGACGTGCTGTGTCAACATCATTCAAATGAAAGTGAAGTAACATCTGCAACCACCCCGCCAGACAAAAGAAGGGTGGCGAGTTGTCTACAGTTTCTTTGTAACACCAAACAATGAAAGATCAAATAACATCTACAGAGTGTCGACAGGTGAGTATTGGAGACAGAATAATTAAATCGAAGAGAGATGTTTCTTGCAATGGGAAGCAGGTACCAAAATATCTCAGGCACAGTCTGGGCCACACTATGTACTATTCAAGCAAGTTTGCTGAAAAACTGACTTGAAAATATATTAGTGATGGGGTGAAGAAGCCTTGATTAATTTATTCAGCTTTCCAGGCACAGCTAAAATGTGACTCCAGCTGAGGAATGAACACAATGTAATTGTTGTAAAGGGTTAAATGATTAAAAAATAATAATAATTATCACTACTATCTTATTATACACCTGTTAAATGCTAGCCTCTCTGAGTTAGAGCTCACCTAAGTCTCATTGGCATTAGATACGTGTTTTTTTTTAATTTTTTATTTTAAAGAGATTAAGATAAAGAGGACATAACAAAGCAGATCATAACAGAACAATGTAAGCAACACAGTATTTCACCACAAGACAACCCAATACAACAGTAGCTACCATAGTGTCTCTTTCCTTGAAATATAGTTGAGTATACCTTCATACACAATAGTATCAAACATAACAAAATAATATAAAACCATTAAAGAGAATGAAAGTATTACAGGGCATTCAGAACCAAATACCAGAAAACAGTGGTAAATATATTATCTCATTGTCCATAAAGATTTGTTTATGCTATCATACATAATACAATCCAAGAAGATACAATATGATAGAACCAATGGAAACAGAAGAACAAAAGTATGGTAGGACTTCAAAACAAGATGGTATTAAATCAGCACTGGCTATTTTGATGTCTTGTTTTCTTCAAAATAGCTGTTCATACCATCACAGAAAATAAAATCAAACAACCCAGGATAAAACCATTCCAACTAATGAATGAAAACATTATAAGGCTTCAAAGCAATGTAATGGGGAACCATAAACTCTTATGTACTCTTACCATTTCTTACACTAGGGAGACTATACGGTATTTATGTATGTGAGTTTGATTTATTTTGCTTATGAGTTATGGTCTCAAGTTGTGTCCATTTATTTATAAATATCTCAGTGTGATCATTCTTCATAGCTGAGTAGTACTCCATTGTATAAAAATACTACATCTTTTTTATCCATTCCTCAGTTGTTGGACACTTAGGTTGTTTCCAAAATTGGACTATTACAAATTGTGCTGCCATAAACATGGGTGCACATATATCACTGTGGTATTATGTTTTCAGTTCTCCTGGGAATGGCATTAGATAAGTATTCATATCAAAATACAGACAGAAAAAAATCATAGATGATAAGTGGTGCCTAAGATGACCTGGATGTTTTGTAAGAAGCAAATTCAGAGTGGTAACAGTGGTGCCCTGTTTCAGGGATACCACATTAATGATGGTACACTTGCCTTCTTATTTAGCAAAAATCTATACCAGTATTTTTGTAATATGTCTACACATAAGAATCATCCAAGGAGGTTTAAAAATGATGCTGGTGTCTCCCTGACCCTAAGAGTATGATTCGATTTTCTGCTTGTCTTCTTTTATTTGGAGTTCTATTTTCATTGGGAGGCAATATTTGGAAGAATGTCTATGTTTTTCTCCAGTTGCTTTTTTTACAGTCTTTCAAAGTTTGGATCATGTACCCCTGCTGTGTTCTCAGCCTTTACATTAAGGGTGATGTCTTGATTCTACTCACGAGGGTGCTTTGGAAAGCCAGACGTGCTTCTCCATCTCTCCCAGCACTGTGTCACTGCATCACACTATTGGAATGGATGTAGATGGATGCAGACACAGGCTGCACTTACAGTAAAGTCTCTGTCACGCTCACATTGCCTAGCAATTATTTCTGTGTTCTCCCCTTGATTTCCACTCTGCCTTCTATTACACATGGAATCATTTGAGTCAGGGGAGAAACTCAGACACCTGAAGGACAGACACAAGGAGCTATGATACAGTCACCGAGGGATGACACAGGTCATATGAATGGCCAGACTCAGGGATGTCTAGAGCTAAAGAGTGCCTGCTCCCTGGTAGAAGACAGTGATGTCAGAGGAATTAGTGAAAAAAGACAAGGAGTACAAAAGGATAAAGAAGAAGGGGAGGAGAAAGGAAAGAAAGAAGGGAGGAGGAGGAGGAGGGGAAGAGAAAGAGGAGGAGATCTTAAAAAGGAGAAACCAAAGAAGTGCTCCACACCAGTCAAACAATGCAGACCTTTGCAGGGTAGCACTGATGCTGAGTCTCTCCTGTTTCTGTTCCTAGTCAAGGATTGAGAAGGGAATGTCAGAATTACAATCTGTTAACTTTCTAAAGAAATTGGAATATCAGCTTCCTTTTAGTCTATGTTTCTATAAACAAACACACAAAGGAAAATACTACTACCATAGTGATGATGTTCAAGGCATACACCTGACATCATGAATTGTATTGTTTTCTCCTTGTCCTAGGGATTAAGGGTCAACCCCAGGAAAGTATGATGCGGAGAAGCTGAGGAGAACCCCAAAAACTCATGCTGTCCACAAGTACCGATGTGGACTGCTTTCTTACACATGATCTCAGCCAAAAGGCCAAGAAGTGATTGGAGTATTTGTCCTAGAAAACAGCCCAGTGAGTTTAGCCCAGGTAGTTTACATGTTCTTTGTGTAAATGAATGTAAACCATATTTCACTAGTATGTAAGGAATCAAAAACCCTATACAAATAGTGTCTCCTCCAACTCATTGGTTGACCAGCCATTGCAAATAGTAATAACTTTACCAAAAGTTATAAATATCTTTCCACTCTGTCCAATAACCTCCGTGCAAGTCTTCCCTATTGGAAAATGGTGAGTTAATTTTTTCTAATAAAAGAGATCCCCCGACATTATCATTAACCTTCACAGATTAACTGTTCAGAAAAAGTCTTGCCTGTAATTGTTTTACCCAAACACTGAGTTGCTTTGTACACACTAGCAACAGGTCTAAAAGAAAATAGTATCAGAGATCTTGAAACACACATACCAAAAGAAGATATGTCAGTTGAGAGTATCACTTATGTTTCAGAAGAGCTTTTCAGAATAATAAATCTTTAGCAATCTTCTGCTGGAGAAATGCTCACAAGTAGCAGGACAATGGATACTGCGTGATTCTACTTAGATGGTCTATCTAAGGTAGTAAAAGCAACATGAGCTTAAAACACAATGGTGCTGATGAGAAATAGTTTAATGCATATACATCCCTAATTACCAAATTCAATAAATTCGATAGATCTGCTATACAACCTCATACCTTAACAAAATTGCAATGTATACTTCAAACAATAAGTGCATAGATCTCACATTAAGTGTTCTTAAGTGTGTATACTAAGCTTACAGTCTGCCAATGCACCACGCCATCAGTCCCTGTTACAATCAACCCCTTAAAAATAATTATAGCATCAATAGTAGAATTAGGAAAGGATAAAAAAATGCCAGGAAAAGGGAGCTAACAATTTTTAAAAATTGATAGTATGCCTTTTTTTAATTCCTGAAAGCTATATTATGGTATAGCAGAGTCAAATCCAGAAAAGCACTTAAAAAAAAAAATAAAGCATGTATATTTAAAATGTCACAGTTAGATAATAGGATGACTTTTCCATTTACAAATTCTTAATCTGTATTAAAGGAGTCCTGCCAAAAAGAACTGGGAATATTTCATGAATTTATAGGCACTGTTTGCCAACCTGATCCAATTTTTCTCTTGTTGAAACTGCTTCATTAATTTAATGTGCAAGAAATAAATATTTGATGTGCAATTAGTTGGAGATTATTATGGTCATAATGGAACCTTTCCAAATAAACAGCTGCTCCAGCACTTTAAATGCATGAAAAGCAAGACACGAAATAGAAAATATAATGAAACACCAGCTCTGCAGAGGAAAAGTGTTAAAATATTCAATTAGTGGGTAAGATGGCTGTTGCTTTAGAAGTTTGGTGGTGGTTTATCAGAGCATAACAGTGTAAAAGCTGCTAAACTTCAGCTGACTATTCATCTACCTGAAATTTCATGGAAACGTTCACCTACAGAGACAGTTCTGTTCAAGAAGAAAACATTATTGAAATAGACATTAACCAATTCTGATTCTATCACATTACTCATTATATATATGTTTTATATTTATACATTTAATTCATAGGATTACTCTACAATCACAGATCTATACAAACTCTAAATGTTGGTATGTAGAGCCATATATGAATTGTAATGATTTCACTTTGAGAGACAATGATGTCTGTCCTTAAATATATGCCCATGATGGTTTGTTTAAATTTGAATGAGCCTATGATTTCAACCTTTGCAGGAATTCATGTCCTTACGTTCTCCAAACTCTTGGCTTCTGAGCTGGAGTCATTCAATGTGTGGCTCAACTGTGTGCTCATAGAAAGGATGCCTAAAGCTATTTGACACACAGACAACAGAACAGATAAACATCAGAGGGTGAGCCTTAAGCTCCATGGAGAAGTTTCTTCTATTGAGAAGGGAACAAATCCTTTACCACTCTCTTCTATTGGGGGCTCAATAGAAAAAGCACAAAGCACTTCCAACTAGTAAAAATCTGACCTGTAATTATGGTTCAGGACTGAATATCAAAGGGACCAGTGGGAACTGTCTACAACAACCAAGGTGCTGATATACATTCCTGGGATGCAGACTCGGGGCAAGGTGATCGTCACAAGGCCTTCTTCCCTTTTGCTCATGTGAGTTTGCAGCTGATTACAATTTGTCATTCTTCGTTGCTCGAAAAAACCCACTGCTCTGAGAAAATTCACACTGCTATTTTTCCCTGTGCTTTCTGCTGTCTTTAAGAGACTCCCTTCACCCTTCCTTCCTGACTGCCACAAGGTGATAAAATGAGTAGCTTTCCTCTTCCTGACCTTTCCACAAGGATCTTTTCAGCTCCTGATGGATCCAGAAATAATACACCCAAGTGACTAGATAAACGCTCCTAAAAACATGGAGCTACAGTAAACCTTTGCTTCTTGATACTGATGTCTGTCAAGTATTACCTTACAGCACTGATGGGTAACTAACTGTTATGGATTAAAAACTGGTGATCAATTTAACACCAGCTGGATTACATCAGCATGGCACTGAGCGAAGATGCTCCACCTGAGGAAAGTTGCCAGCATAAATAGGTGGAGGAGAAAGGAGATGTTGAGGCTTTAAGGCATTATTGCATTGAGGTATTGTGGGTTATCCTACATGTTGCTGTTTGAGACATTGGTTCTCCTGGAGAAGTTGTGGTTCTCCTGGAGAAGTTGTGGTTCTCACATCAAGCCTTGCTTCCTGGCTCCAGAGGGGAAGACATGTGCTGCTTGGTCTCCAGGATGAACTCGGTCACGCTGGCTTCCTGGCATATACCCAACTGTGCTTGTTGTCTGAAGAACTTGGGTCCTCCATGTCACTGAGGATCAATATGGTGCCTTTCAGGACAGCCCTGATCTTTGTTGTGAGTGTGACTTCTCGGCTGCAGCATAGAACGCTCAACCTACCAGCACAGCTCCTTCACCCTGCTGGCATGGACTTTCTGGCTTCCACCACTGACCTTTGGGTCTTCCTGGCAAGGATCCATAAAAGAGACTGGCGTGAGTCCTTCTTGTGGGCTCTGGACCTCCAGTTGAACTTGTGGGAGGTGTTGTCATGAGCTCTGGATTTTCATCTGGACTCATGTGGGACATTGCTGTGGGATTTAGTCTGTTGACTAAATATTCTATGTCTTGCTGTTACAGATAGATTTCCTGCATTTTCTTGTATTAACTTCCAGTGACCATTATAAAAATAGTATTATAAACTCCATATCCTGATTCTAATTGTTCTCTGCACAACCCCTAACTACAACATTAACACACACCCCACAGGAATTCATCAGTGAAAGAACAGGAGCATTAAACTTGTGTAATTTGCCCCACATAACAAGTGTAATTGATGGACAGGAAGTACTTTGCTCATAAAGGAAATAGACCATCTTCAGACCTCATCCAGTAAATGGGTAACCCTAACCAAGCCAGGAGAGGTGCTAAGTATCTCTCCAAACTAGGAAATCATAGCCTAAAAATCAAAGGATAGAAAATCATAGGCCATTCACCAGGACCCCCAAAGCAGAGGCATGGTAGCAATTTTATTCTCAGGCCAAGTAAACTTCACCCTAGGACTGATTAGGAGGGAACAACAAAAGTCATCAGATGTTATTTGAGGGAATAAACCAATCTGAAAAGATAATAATTAGAAATGTATTTGCACCAAATACTGGAGCACCTGACTTTATAAAACAAAGACTTCTGAACATAAAAGACTGAATACATACCAGCATGATCACAATAGGTGACCTCAGAGGTTTCCCACTTTCACAAAGACGCAGATGTCAGAGACATCAGTGAAGAAATACCAGAGCTCAACTACACTTTTGTACAAATGGACTTAATAGGTTACCTACAAGGTATTCTACTGTTCTACAGCAGAATACAATTCTTCTCAACAGCACATGGAACTTTCTCCAAAACAGCACACATATGAGTCCTCAAAACCCCCCTTAGATAAACACAAAGGAACCAAAATCACCTCATGTAAGCAGTCACATTGTTGTGTATTAAACCTAGAAATCATTTACAAAGGAAACTACAGAAAATTTATTAACCCCTGGAAAATTAATGACAAACTCCCGAACAGTCAATAGGTAAAATAAGAAATCAAATAACTCCTAAAATCAAACAGCTCCAGGGCAGCACACTGGAACCTATGTGGGGGGCATAGTAACCACAGCCTAAAGAGGGAAGATTATTCCAGCAAGAGCCCACAGTAACAAACAGAGTAAGTTTATGCTTAAAGAGGGAATTCTAAAGATCCAAATAGACCTTAGTGACATTGAGACTTCAAAACTACATTAAAAAATCAGTGAGTCAAAGAACTGGGAAGAGGTCTTGGCCAGCTACATTTCAGACAACGACTTAATACCTAAAAATATAAAGAATTATAAACTGTTAGACTCTTCCAAATAAAAGACTCAATCCAATGAGTGACAGAAATGAGTAGATACATCTCAAAAGAAGAAATACAAAAGACCCATAAATACCTAAAAAAAAATTTGTTCACCAATACTGGTCACTATGGAAATTCAAATTAAAACAACACTGAGATTCCATCTTAATCCAGAAAGAGTGGAAATCATAAAAAAAATCAGATAAGAAATCCTGTGAAGTCTGTGCTGATAAAATGACCCTTCTGCATAGCTGTTGGGAATAGAAACTACTGTAATCATTATGGAAATCAATGTGGAAACGTATCAAAACCCAGAAGAAAGTCCATTTGACCCAAGTATTCCCCTGGTAGACACCTTCCTGCAAGTAATAAGGAGATCATATTATGACAATTCTTGCATGTCAATGTTTATAGCAGCACAAATCAGGGCAGATAAGACTTGGAAGCCTATATATACAGCAGCAAATGGATAGATAATACAAAAGTGGTGTTTAGACATAATGCAATAGTAGTCTGTTGTGAAGAAGAATAAATTTCCAGTTATTCGTAAGAAAGTCAATGCATTTCAAAACATAATATTAAAGTGAAACACATGAGTCACACACACTAGAATATCACATTGGTTCTCTCAGATGAAGGAGCCAAAGAATAAATAGAGACCAAAATAAAAGATACAAGGACATGGGAAGGTAGATCTTTCAGAAATGGAAAAGAGACCTGGGGGTTGAAGGACGGGGGGAAAGAGAGAGAGGAAATGAACATGGAGAATAGTTAAAATGTCTTACGTATGTGAACTAAATGGCCACAGCTAAAGTACTGCAAACATGTACTAATTTTTAAAACGAAAACAAAACAACAACAAAAAAAACCACCTAGGATACAAAGGCAATGGAGTTTTTTTTTTAAGAGAAAAAATCACAATAAAACAGTTTTAAGAGGTTTTAGTAGGGTAGTGACAATAATCAATAATCAATATTGTGTATTGTTATTTTCACAGTAGTTAGAGTACAAGATATACACGTGAGATCTTGTCCAAACATTATTAGTGCAAACCTCTGTTTTCAATCTAATGCTAGTTATGCAGCTAACAGAATCTAGCTGCATAACTATCTTCACTCTCTTGTGTACAAATATATTATTCCTTTTCCCCCTTTATTCCTTCAACCATCCCCCATCACAGTTTCTCTTTTGTTTTGAGCAGTTTCATCCCAATTAACAATCTCTATTCGACATTTTGAATCATATCTACTCAGTTCCTCACAGTAGTAAGACAATATGATGTTTACACATATGAGTCTGGTTTATTCCACTTATAGGTATAGTCTCAAGTTGTACCCATTCATCTATAAAAGTGTCCAGTTTATCATTCTTTATGGCTGAGTAGTACTCCGTTATATTAGAAAAATATCTTTTTTATCCATTCCTCAATTTATGGACATTTGGATTGTTTCCAAGATCTGGCTATTACAAATTGTGCAGCTATAAACATGGGTGTATGTATATCCCTGTGGCATGACATGTTCAGGTTTTCTGGGAAAATACCTAGAAGGGGAATAGCTGAATTAAATGAGACTTTCAATCCTAGTTTTTTGATGAGTATCCATACTGATTTCCACAGTAGTTGCACCAGTCTACACTCCCTCCACTAATGCAGAATTGTTCCTTTGTCCTCCTAACCCTCCCAACATTTGCTATTGGTTGATTTCTTGATGGCAGCCATTCTTTCTGGAATGATATGGAATTTCAATGTTGTTTTAATTTGCATTTTTCAAATGACCGGTTATGTTGAGCGGGTCTTCGTGTATTTATTTGCCATTTGTATTTCTTCATCTGAGAAGTGCATGTTCATCTCAGATGCCCATTTTTGTATTGGGTCTTTGAATTTGAGGGGCCTGATGTTCTTCAGTTCTTTATATGTTCTAGATATAAGTCCTTTGTCTGAGGGACAGCTGGCTAAAACTCTTTCCTATTCTATGTTTTCTCTTCACTCTTTGGTGATGTGTTTTGAAGTACAAAAACTTTAATAAGAGGAGATCTCAATTGTTGAATTGTTTGAAGTATCTCCTATGCAGTTTGCTTTGGTTCATGAACTCTTTGCCTACCCCTATGTCTTCAAGATTGCTTCCAATAGATTTAGTGTTCTTGTTTTAATATTTAGATCTTTGATTAATTTTCACTTTAGTGTATGGTGATAGGTGTGGGTCTAGTTTTAGCCTTCAGCATATGGAAATCCAGTTTTTTCCAGCACCATTTATCAAAGAGACCATCTTTCTTCCAGTGAACATGTTTGGCTTCTTTTCAAAAATAAGGTATCTGCACCTTCCAATTGGTCCCACTGATCCCTGAGGTCTGTTTTTGGACAGTACCATGCTGATTTTATCACAGTAGTTTTGAAGTATAATTTCAGGTCTGGAATTGTGATGCCCCTTGACTTGTCTTTGTTGCACAGTATTGCTTTTGCTCTTCTAGGTCTCTTCTGCTTCCAGATAAATTTTAGAAATGTTTTCTTTTGATCTGCAAAGTATGCTAATGGTATTTTGATTGGGACTGCATTAAATCTGTATAGCAGTTTGGGGAGTATAGCCATTTTCACTATGCTTGTTCTTCCTATCCAAGAGCAAAGGATATATTTTAATTTTCTGACATCCTCTTCAATGTCCTCTTTGTAGTGTACCATAATTTTCACTGTATAAATATTTTACATCCTTTTTGATTGATTCCTTAATATTACATTTTTAAGATTTTGTTGTTGTCAGGTTTGTTACAATACAGGACACACAATTTATAGAATTATTTTATGATAATTACTCAGAGGCAAATATAAAAAAGTGAAGAAAATCCATCCACACACTAGAGACCCAAAGAATCCAGGTGAGACCCTGGGTCCCACACAATGTCCTGCATGAGTCTAGCTGAAGACCTAGAGCCCATGACAAAGTGTCATGCAAGTCCATTTCACGGATCTGCATGCGGGAGGCCCAAAGTTCAATGGTGGAAGCTAGAGTGTCTGTGCCTGTATTTCCATAAAGGTTCTGTGCCAGCAGACTGAGAGATCTGTGCTGGAGCCAGGGAACAATTCTCAAAGTAAATACAAGAACTCCCCCCAAAAGTACCCCAGCAATCCTTAATGAAAATGAGGTCCCTCATTCCTCTGATATGGTAACTGCCAATTTCCTATCAAGAAAGAAGCTCCACAATCTTCTCCAGGAGAATCAACAGCAAAAGAAGAGCCAACAATCCCCTGTTTTCTTTTCCAGGTCTCCTTTTCTATGCTATTGGAAATGAGCCTGAAGAGGGCCACCCACAGCCATCACCACGCCAGCTCAATTCAGTTCAGCTGTGTGTTATGAGCTGATTGTCAGGTGTCAATTCACCACAGATGCTGTTGCGAAGGGTGTGATTTCCCTAATTTGTCTCTCTAGGAGTTTGGTGCTTGCATCCAGGAATGCTATTGGTTTTTGAGGGCTGACTTTGTATCCCACTATAGCACTGAATTTGGACATTAAATCTAGAAATTTTTTGGTGGAGATTTTGGGGTCTTCTATTAGAATATCATGTCATCTGCAAATAATGAGTATTTAACTTGTCACTTTGTTATCTTTATTCCCTCTACTTTTTTCTCTCATCAAATAGCTTTGACTAATGTTTCCAGAATTATATTGGATAGGAGTGGTGATAGTGGACAGCCTTGTATTTTTCCTGATTTTAGAGTGAAAGCTTTGTTTTTGTCCATTTAGTATGACTTTGGCTATTGGTTTGTCATAGATGGCCTTTATCAGATTGAGATAAAGACCATCTATTCCAATTTTCTGTAGATTTTT